TTCGAAGAACATTAAATTACAAGCTTTTATTCTTTACATTGATTTTCTTCAGGAAAAGAAAAAAGAAAAAGTAAAGTTTGGACATTTTTAACGTTTCAAGTTGTTCCCTTTTCTAATATTTTCAAACAGAGCAAATAAGGAGCATTTGGAAACACATAATTTTGTGTTTTTTCTCTAAGTCCCTCCTCTTGTCTCTCTTACCTAATCTAATCTTATAGATTTTAACATTTTTTTTTGAATAATGAACAGGTCTTCACTAATAATGAACAGGTCTTCAAACATCAACCAAATTTCATTCACTAATCTAATAATGAACAGGTTTTCACTAATCTAATAATGAACAAGTCTTCAAACATCAACCAAATTTCATTCACTCTATTCTCAAACTGAAATGGTGAATTCTACAGAGCGACAGTGCGCTCCGTAGCAATCTCAGAGGCATGGCTTTTGTCAATGGCAGCCGACCAAACAGTGCCTGAAAGACTAGCATGCAAGGCAGCAGCTTCTTCTCCGACATCAGAGTCGGATACGAATAAAAAAAAACCCTAAATGTAGAACAAAAATCAAACTCGATTTACCTATAGGTTCAATATTGAAAGCCTCTGCATCAAATAAAAAAAAAAACCAAAAAAAAAAACCCCAAATAATCATAGGCAAATCATAAACCATTTAACTCGTTTCCCATAAATGAAACTCATAAATCAAACTGAAACAGGGAAATAGAAGAAGGAAAAGAGACGAAGAGAGAGAGAGAGAGAGAGAGAGAGAGAGAGAGAGAAACCTGAATCAAATTGAATAGGTGTCAGACGGTGTACCTCTGCTGGTTCGGGGGCTCTGCGCAACGGTGGCCAATGGTTAGTCGATGAGAGGAGATGATCGATGGGCTGTGGATTAGAGGAGATGATCGATGGGCTGTCAACGAGAGGAGATGATCGATGGGCTGTGGATGAGAGTGAGAGCAAGAGGGGTGTTTCCTTTGGTAATACACGGTAGTATTTTAATCTTCCCACAAAAATTTTTTTGGTTTTATAAGATGACTAAAAAAAATTTTCGTCGTTGAATATAAGTTTTTACTGACAAAAGATTTGTCACCAAAAATATATACCAACATTTTATGCGCGAAAATGAGTTTACCATAACTAAAAAAACTTTAATAGCCAAACATATAACTAACGCCGACTAAAATGTTTTTTAGTCACCTAATACCTAAGTTTTTAGTGACTAATTTATTTTTTAGTCGCCAATAGGTACTTTACAATGACTAAAAAAATTTAGTAGGCAATAAACACAACTAACAGCGACTAAAATGTTTATTAGTCGCCTATTACATAAGTTTTTAGCGACTAATTTATTTTTGAGTCGCCAATAAGCACTTTACAGTGACTAAAAAAAGTTAGTAGCTAATTGTTGAACCAATCGCGACCAATACCAAGTTTAGTCGCCAAAAGTATGGGTTTTGGCGACTAAATTAATTTTAGTCGCTAAAATTGGTCGCCAAAAATACGAATTCTTGTAGTGTTCTACCAAAGTACAATGTGAATTTTCACAATTTACAATTAATATAAACTAGTTTTTTTTAAAAAAAATAAACTCATACCAATGTGAATATTCACATTACAACGTGAAATATAAAATAAAATTGAAAAAAGTGAAAATCAACTATTTCGATTGTTCAATGGTAACAAAAATGATTGTTCAACCAATAAACATAGCAAAAAAAAAACAACAAAATACAACTAACCTTCAAAAAAACTTTAAAACAAAACTCATACCAAAATATAATGTGAACGTTCATAATTTATAATTGTTGGAAATGGTTATAAAATTCTGGATAAAACCAGAATTTTTTCCTAAGTTCGGTCTATTTTTTAGGTGGGCCCCGAGTGTCGATTTACTCAGGTCAAAGTGGTAACGCGTTCTATGCCGCGTTGTGATTCACGTGGTATATTTGGTTGCTCAAAACCATTACCGAGTGAATGGGAAATTGAAGCCAAAGTGTGCTCCATGAAAATGGAGTTTTGGTGGAAATTCCTTAAGAGGGAGAGGTTATGGGCAAAATGGGCTAGACCCATTGGATCCAAAAATCACCACACGCGCGCGCCGCCGCTGCCGTCCGTCCGGGCGGGCGGGCTAGGCTGGGCCTGGGGTTGTGCTTGTTCGGCCCAATACTAATCTTTTTGGGCCAAAAACATTTGAATTTATTTTTATTTTTTGGTAAAATAAAATCCATAATTCAAATTAACCGGAAATAATCTGGTTCGGTTTTTTCTGTACATCCAGACAGGGCCCTTTCGTTTTTTGAACCCAACAGCTCACAATCTGTTTGAATTTCAAACCAAACAGTTTGTATCTGTTTAATTCAAATTGAATAGGTACAGTACCTGTTTAATTCAAAATGGAAAGCCACCAATCCATCTATAAATAGACTAAGTTCCCCTATTTGGAAAAAAAACTCCAATTTTCGTACTCCATCTTCTGCTATAAATTTATTCTTCATTTTGCATTTAGTTCTGGTTACAGAGAGTATAAACACTTAGTGTGTTCGACGAACGAATAAATTGTAGTGCTGCTTTTATTCGTTGATAGATCATTTTATCTTGAGAGATAGATGCCCAGATTCTGAAAGCACCGTGGAGAGGATGAATCTGTCTTAAGGACACAGTGTTAAACACTGGACTTGATCAGATAGTTATTCAAAAGAAATTAACCAAGTAAGTTGTTTAATTTTTATTCTGTTTTTTTTTTGTTTATTTAATCAGATTTTAATTTTGTTTTTGTAACAAAATAAAATCTGTTTTTATTTATTTATTTTTATTTCGAGTTTGATTTTTGTAATCAAACAAATTCTCTCCTTTTCTTTATTTCTTTAAATTCTATTTGTTGTTGTGTACACAATAGAATTAAATCTTTTAAATACAGTGAAGATTGTCCAACAATAATTAACATACAACTAATCTTAGAAAAACTAAATTCATATCAATATGAACATTCACACACAACATGAAACAAATTGAAAGAAAAAAAATAACTATTTCAATTGTTTAATGGTAACAAAAAAATGATTGTTCAAACAAATAACCAATGATATGTGAACATTTTCATCTTGTAAAATATATAATTATGTCCGTATTTATATTTTAACACTTATTTCTCAGACTTTCAAACAATGTGAAATGTGAACATTTACACTAATTGACCAAAAAAATAGAAACAATGGCAACAATAGAATTAGAAATTCAAAAAAAAAAAAACCTCAATCACTCTAAAAATAAGAAAATATCACCCACGTCATCATCTTCATCACCATCTTTATCATTATCACTATAATTAACAATCTATGCAATTTCATCATTACATCAATCCAAAACCAAACCCACCTTTGAGGAATATGTTTGTAACAAAATTAATTGGACATAAACCGAGTTTTGCCTTACAATAATAGAGAAATATAGAGTTTTAAAATAGAGCAACAATAGACGAACACAGAACTTCAAACACAAAGTGATAATAGAGGAACACAAAGTTTTACTACAACAATAAAGGAACATAATATTGTTTCACCACTATGTGTAAACTAAAGTTTCTAAATCCTACCAAATAAAGAGTTTCAAACCCTAGCACAATGAAATAATACCACAAATGTGAATGAAACTGATCAAAAAGAAAAATGCGAATAATGGTAACTACCAAAATAGAGGTAGTAACGAAAAAGAAATGTGTATATCATTTTTTTATGTAATACATATCAACCATAGACATAAAGGTATAATAGTCCAATAAACAACATAAATCAGGAAAAAAATGACCTCATGAAATAAAAATATAAATGCATAGGACTAATAAGGTTCTAATTTTTCTTGGTTGACTTACTGGGTTAGAACACCTCTAAATTGGATTTATCAATAAAAAAAACCCTTAAATCAACTATTAAATTAATTAATAGTTTTTAATAATGTCATAAATATATTTCTATCAATAATTTTAACAATTTTATTGTATAGAAAAGTAGATCAATTTTTTTTTTTCCCCCGGTTAACTCTCTTAAATGACAAATTATTACAAAAGGTATTTATAACTTTAAAACCATAAAAAATAATCCATACAACAAATATGAAGAAATATATTTATGATTTAACCTAAACATAAATAAACACAAAGAAACATGATACCACTAATACGTATACCAATAACCAAACACCAATCCCTCATCTCTAGGGGTGAGCATGGTCTGGATTGGATTGGATTGGGGTAAAATCAGAACTAATCCGTTATCTACGGTTTCTGAAAAATTGGAACCAATCTAATCCGTTTAAATCATGGAACCAATCTGAACCAATTCATTTAAATACGGATTGAATCGGTTCACTACAACAAAATGCATGTTTGGCGACTAAAATTGGCGACCAAACCAATTTTAGTCGCCAAAAATACCACATTCATCGACCAAATATCGGCTTCGGTCGGCATTCATTGAAATCTTTTGCCGACTAACGTATTTTCGTCGCCATATAGTATCATTGGCGACCAACTTTCCATTTAGTCGCTGTTGTTACCCACTTAGGCTACCAATATTTTATTTTGTCGCCGTATGGTTTAATTTGGCGACTAAGCATTTTTGTCGCCAAAAAAAGGGTATTTTTGTCAAACAAAAGTAATAAAAGAAGATATTATACGGTTTTAGATTTGAATTTAGATTTTATATAGAATAAGAGAAGATACTATGGGGGAGGATATATAATAAAAATATATACTATTTGTATACGGTCCAGATCGGTTCCAATCCAAAACCGTGGGGTTCAATCCGGAACCAATCCATGTACTACGGATTTTTAATTCTTCAATCCGGAAACGAACGGCGGATTCAAAAAATCAATCCAAATCTATCGAATTAGACTAGACTAGATCGGATTACGAATTTTACGAATTCCTTACTCAGCTCTCTCAAATGACAAATTATAACAAAAGGTATTTATAACTTTAAAACCATAAAAAATAATCCATACAACAAATATGAAGAAATATATTTATAATTTAACCTAAACATAAATAAACACAAAGAAATATGATACCACTAATACGTATACCAATAACCAAACACCAATCCCCCATCTCCTTACTACATCCATTAACACTCTCATTAAAAAAAACCTAACCGTACACCACCCAAAAAAAAAAAAAAAAACTAATACCAATACAAACAAGTGGCAAACATGAATCCAAAAGACAGACTCAACCATGAAGCATATCAGATCAGAACGTGAACATGTCTGCAGCAGAAGCCATGATGGGTTGATTCACATACATCAAGTTCCATGGGTTCAAGAAATCATCACCACCACCACCACCAATACCATCAAACCCGCCATTAATATCGTTCTTGGAGCTCAAGCAATCAATAATCTCATTTAGAGAACTCAACCGGTGAGTCAACTCATCCACCTGAGCTCTCAGAACCGAGTTCTCAGCCTCAAAATTCGCCCACATCTGTGAAGTCAAATTCACGTTTGTCATTACGTAGCCATTCTCATCCCTGAGTCGACTCGCCTGTGCCACCAGCTCGTCCAAGTGCTTCTGCTTCCTCATCCACGATCTCCGAGCCGATTCGCGATTCGAAATCATTCTCTTTCTCTTCCTCTGATCATCCATGCCCTGTTTCGGATCTCCTTCAGAGCTCGAGCTATGAAGAAGATGACTTGACCCTGAAGAAACCCCACTAGGAGAGGCCATCATATACTACTAATTAATATGCTTCAAGAGATGTTAAAAAATTTATATGAAAATGGGTTTGATTGATATATATATATATATGAGGATATTTCAGAATTTCAGAAATGGAAGTGATTGTTGATGGGTGTGGAAGATTGAATGATGAGGTGGATGATATGGAGAATGGAGTTCATGAGAAGACGTAGAACCAGTAGAGGAAAACAACAGAGAAAGATTGGACTAAGTGGGTTCGCCGGCGAAGGGTGGAGTTTATGGCGAACCCGGAAATGAGGACTTCACTAGTACCGGAGACATGAATCTGATCAAACATCAAGAACCATAACCATCCAATATATATGTATATATATATATAGAGAGAGAGAGAGAGAGAGAGAGAGTCTGAGAAGAGAGTTCCAGAACCTCTTGAGCAGACCTGGCAGGGAAACAGGAAGAGAGAGCCTCAAATTGTAGAGGGAATAGGAGGAGGAGAGGAGGAGGTTTTGAGGGGGTGTTGATGGTGGAATTTATAGAAAAAAAATAGACATTGAAATTGATTAAAAATCATTATTTAAATATGAATATTGTTATTCAGTTTAAAAGTTAGACATATTTTTAAATTTAGTGACATTAAGAAAATAATTAATTGTTAAAAAATAAATCTAGAAAGTAAAGTTTTATATAATATTGTGGAGAGGAGTGAGAGAGCCACTTGTTAAGGTTATAAAGGTTATTTCCTATATATTAATTGTTATTTTTACTATTTTATATTATTGGATTAAATTAATTACTAAATAACTACTGATAATAAAAAAATTAATTAATGTGTTTGGTTTGGGTTTTTTGAATTAAGTTTTTTGAAAATTGAATTTTTTATTTTTCGTATTTTTTTATTTTTAGTGAATGTTTTTTAAATTTTAAGTATTTTTTTTACTTTTTTAGATACATCTTATTTAAATGTATCTAAAAAGTAAAATATTTGTAAAAAAATATTTTAAAAAATTAATAAATACATAAAAAATACAAAAAATGTACTGAATTTTCGTATTTTTTTGTATTTAGTGAATTTTTTTAAAAAAATTCACAAAAATTATATTTTTTAAGTGTATTTATTTTAGGTGTGTCTAAAAATTAAAAAAAAAATTCCTTAAAATATTAAAAAAATTCATTAAAAACAAAAAAAATATAAAAAAAATAAAAAGAAGAATTTTCTGAAAAGTATTTTTAGAAAATTCACACCAAGCAAAGTGAATAGTAGTTTGTTTTTTAATGAAATAAACTATAATAATTATATTTGTATATTATAAATTATGTATCATATGTATGTTATTAAAAGATGAATCAGGATTCTCTCCTTACATTTCCTACTTGCAAGTCTATTGGGCCCACTTTTAGGCATAATTTTGATAATTAAAACTATTCATATTTTAAGATTTGTTCAGTATATCATACCTATAAAAAATCAAGTTGATCGGATATCAGAAAGCATGTGTTCGGAAAACTCGAACTAAAAACTATTTTTTTAAAGAATTTAATAAACAATTTTCCGAACACATGTTTTCTGATACCTGATCAATTTGATTTTTTACAAGTATGATATACTGAACAAATCTTAAAATATCAACGGTTCAGATTATCAAAATTGGGCCTAAAAGTGGGCCCAATGGACTTGCAAGTAGGAAATGCAAGAAGAAAATGCAAGGAGGGAATCTTGATTCATTAAAGAGAATGAAAGATGGTGTAAAATATTATCCAATCAGTTAAAAATGTACTGATCTACACTAATTCACATCGTTTAATTATAATATATTTTTGAAATTGCTCCGTTTATGTATATATATATATATATAATTTCTAATAAAATATCAAAATAAAAATGAGCGTGAAAGAGATTTAAGATATGAAATTTATTATAAATTAATAATTATATATATGAAAAATATTATACAAATTAATATCATATATTATACAAATACTTGATAATTGATTAATAGTATTCTTCAATTCGCCTATTCATCCCAAACCACCCATATAACAATTTGATTGTCTACTAACTTGTCATTTAATTTATAATTTTACTTTCAAACTATTATCATCACATGAATTTGAAAGGTCTCAATTATCATGTTTATTATCAATAGAATAGTATTAGTAAGACCATCTCCAATGGTTAATATCATATTTGTTATTAAATTTGAATTTGTTAAAAAAAGTCTTCTTCTTTTGCTCCAATAGTTTCATCAAATAAGTATCAAATGTAAAATTTCATTTTTTTTCATCAAACTGAGAATCAAGATGTCTTTCATCAAATCATTGTTTGTAGCCGTTGCCGAATGTCTTTTCAGATGCCCACCTCAAGACAAAAAATTGTGAAAAAATTGCACTAGCCAATCGACCACCTGAAGAAAAAAAAAATTATATTGGCCGGTCGACTAACCGAACATTCACCCGGTCGTTCGATATTCTTATAAAATTTTAAAATCTTCCGTCCAAACGCTTGATATTAAAAGAAGTTTTTATTCAAATTTTAATAAAAAAAATCGATACACCAAGAGGCTGACATTAAATAATAGAAATTGTACGATATACAAATGTAACAATGATAACATTATTGTTATTGTTTTCCATACATTCACGCAATCATAATGCACATGGGCACCAGCGCAGCCCAAAAATAATAATTAAAAGGAGATATACTTGTATATTTGGTTGAAAAAGTTAAATAAAAAATTTAAAAGATCAAAAAAATATCTATATAACAATGGAAGGCTTCATTTGAAAATGTCTTTCAAATTAATGGTCCAGATCTATCTAATTTAAAAGTAATGGTTCAGATTTATTTTCAAAAATATCTCTCTCACAAACTATCTTCAATGGTCTAGATTTATCTAATTTAAAAACAATGGCTGAGATTCAAAAGAGATTCAATGGTTTAGTTTATCAAAGAAATAATTCAATGGCCCAAATTTGTTTAACAATCAACTCTTACCAACCACTGCACTTCACATCATATGTATGTATGTATGAACAAATCTCTGAAGAAGGCTCTGAAGAAGGAACAAGCTTTGAAGAAGGAAGACCAAAGCTTTGAAGAAAGCTCCTCACATTCTTTTTGTTTTTCCATTCATTTTTTTACCTCTGTTTTTTTTTTTATATTTTTTTTTCATCATCCCGTCATCGCCACCCATTCAACTTTTCAATCTTTATACCACGATTATACCTTCACTTTGAGAGAGCTTTGCCCTGGCTTCACCCATTGTTTTGCTTTTCCCTAGCTTCAGTTTGAGGTAAGGCACTCAGATTTATTTTGCTCTTCCCTGGCTTCACCCATTGTTTTTTTCTAAAGCAAATTTTTTCAATTAAATGAGTTAATGTTAAATAGGATTTCAACACCCACTTCTTTCTCTATCAAATGGGTTGAGCTTTCAACACCCATTTCATGTAAACAATCATAAAAATAGATTTCATGTTAAGATTCATTTTTATTTTATCTTAGTAAAATGGGTTGAGACTCTCTTTAATTATCAATGGTCATATTTTTATTCACATGAAATAGATTTGTATACTCTTAATTAATGTTAACATTAATTGGGTTGACACAAAATAACGGTTCATCATAATTTTTTATTTTTGTGATTTTTATTTTGTTCTTTTTCAATTTTTTGTTTGATTTTTTATTCTGTTTTATTCTTACTTGCAGATTGCTATATCTCGGCTGGTTAGTACTTTGATCTCTGTTTTTTTGGATTTTCTCTCTCTGTTTTTTTTTTTATTTATTTATTTTTTTTTTTTTTTTTAGTTTGGCTGTTGATTGTTGAGAGAGAAAGGAAAAGGAAGTTTGAATCTTATGCATTGTTGTTTGGTATATATGAGAAAAAGGAGATTGAAAGTTTTGAACTTTTTTCACTGAACTTTGCTCCTTCAGTGATTTGTTGTATGATTATGCTAATTCTTATTCCTTGATTTTTATTAGCTGGTAAGGTTCATTATTGACATGCCAATACTGGAGTTTCATCTTACAATAGTTAGTGATTCCAATAATTGAGATCTTTAATCTATAGGTAATAGCTTAGAGGGCATGTGCTTATTTTAGTTTACCAAACTAACTAAGCTCATGAATCTTCCTGAAGAAAGCCAACCCATCCGAGAGTGATTTCAGAATGCATTTGATACATTTTGTGACTAATGTGGAATTTAATAACATTTTTAAATTCCACATGCCACTTTTTGGGCATTCAAGTAAAAATTTGCAACAGTCTTGGTCTTGGATAATAACATTTTTAATGATATCTAGAAATTAGGCAGATGAAAATGCTTCTTGGTTATATTTGACTGGTTTTTATATGTTGTCACGTAGAAGGTTGGAGGTTGTTTAAGGTCCAAAACTATAAATAGGATCCAATTTAGACCTAGACTGCTCAGACTTTCATGGTATGATCCATTCGAAATTTTTTGATTAGTGCAGAAGGTTATTTGCAATATTATGTATTTGTCTTCTGAATTTGTTATTTTGTAAACCTAAATTATTAGATAACCCTACTTTTCTTTTTGTTATGCCAGGTATTCCCAACTGGTGTAGAGCAAACTCTTGGAGAACCTTTTGGATTGTGTCTTTGATGCTAAATTGTTTTCTTCCTATCTGCATTTTTCATTATTGTTGCTCAGCATTTTACATAATGTTGTCTCATGAGAGATAGTAATACTCTCTAGACATGAAGGAGGTGATACCTTTAGAAAATACATGATTTATTTATTTTTCTTTTCTTTTTTCTTGGCACTAGCACTGGACTCAATGCATCCTGGATTATTCAAAAATCAGATGAATTCATTTTTGTGGCCTGTGTTATGTCTTTTTCTGATACATTGGTATAGCTCTCCTCTAGGAATCATTTCCATAGGTTTGCTTGAGGTTTTCGTGTTCATTATATATGTTGCTCTGTCTTTGGCTTTCCAGTCTTCGGATTAAACATGTTTTCTCATCCTAAATTTGTGTTGTTATGTGTATTAAAATAACCTGATAATTTTTTCATTGTAAATTTGTAACTATTTTAGTTATATTATAGTTACTGTGGATCGTTATTCTAAGATTGTTGAATTTGGTATTGTTTCTCTTCAGGTTGGCTCAATTAAGGGAAGGGTAGGCATGCACCATCTTGATGATTCGCAACAAAGTAAAAACTTTACTTTCAATTGTCATGGAGAGGGCAATGAGATATATTCAGTCAACTCATTGAACTTTCATCCTGTAAGATCCTACTTTGCAACTGCAATTTTTCTATTTAAAGTTGTTGATCATTATTGCTGGTTAGCTTCTGTAACTGTTTGCTACTGTCTAAATTAAAACGTTGGAAGGCTACTTACTATTACTGCAAAATTAGAGGAAAGTAAATCATCACTAAACTAATCTCTTTGGAAAGTAAACAACTCCCATTAGATGTCTCTTTGCAAAATATTTTCTATCAAATATTGTCACATTCCTTTGCACGTAATTTGGCAACATTTTTTTCGTTTTTGTAACTTATTTAGCTTAAAATTTGGAATTTTATGCTTAGGCAGTTGTACTTTGAAAAGTTAGGCAGTTGTACTTTGAAAAGTTAGGTATTTGGTAAAACTTTCTAGTTTTTAAACTAATTTGCTTTTTCAGTTCAAAAAGTTTACATAAGCTCAAAAAGTTATTTGTTATGCCAGGTATTCCCAACTGGTTTAGAGCAAACTCTTGGAGAACCTTTTAGATTGTGTCTTTGATGCTAAATTGTTTTCTTCTTATCTGCATTTTTCATTACTGTTGCTCAGTATGGAAAAATGGGTTTCACGTTTCAAATGAGGGTTAATGGAAAATAGGTTTCATGTTAACAATCATTTTTATTTCATCTTAATGGATTGACGTTGCAAAAAAACTGAGTTAATGTTGACATTAATTGGATTGAGGTTCTCTTTAATGATCAATGGGGTTGAGGTTTTCATTAATCATCAATGGTCATATTCTTACTCATCAGACATGAAAATAGATTTGTAAACATTTTTAGGGTTGAGGTTTAATTTTGCTTCTCAATCCATAAGAAAAATGATAGTTCTACATTTTGGCCAATAGAGAAAAATGATGAAGATTTCTATGAGAATATTTAATTTTTCTTCTATCCTTTTTAATGTATATTGAAGACAAAAAAATTATAATTTTTCTTCTATCCTGTAGTAGTTCAATTTTCCCATTCCTAAAGTAAGTTGTTAACTAGAATATATTAGGAGATTGTTAATTATGTGTCGATTAATTTTTCTTTCTGGCAATTATTAAACCTTAGTCTACCTTCTTACAGTTATATTTTCCCCCTCTTAGGCTACATTTGGATTTAGGATTTGAAGGGAATTTGTTGATTGAAAGGAAAATGCAACATTATAAAGTAAACCCTTTTTATATGATGACCCTTTTTCTTTTTTCTTTTTTGCTTTTAGTGAACTGTTTTTAATTTGGTTTTTTATTGAACTGCTATTTTAAAATGTTTAGGCTTCTCTCTCTCTCTCTTAAAAAAGTTCAGTTTATTTAGCTTTTTAAATTTTGTTTTTGGACTTTTTCAAAAAAAAAAATTACTCCTCAGAGTTTTTTTTTTTTTTTTTAACTCCTTGGAGTAAATAAGCTACTGCGTAGTATAATTTTTATGATGTGTATTGAAAAAGGCATTTGTAATTATATAGATAAGGCAAAAAATATTTGTAATTATCCAGTTACAGTGTGGTGAGACCTTTTATAAATTTTTATGGTAATTTTTTCCTTATTTTTTTCACATTTTAAAATGCAAAATTAATTGTCCTTTTTAATGTATATTGAAGACATAAAAAAATTATAATTTTTTCTTCTATCCTGTAGGAGTTCAATTTCCCCATTCCTAAAGTAGGTTGTTAACTAAAATATGTTAGGAGGTTGTTAATTATGTGTCGATTAATTTTTCTTTCTGGCAATTATTAAATCTCATTCAACCTTCTTACAGTTATCTTTTTCCCCTTTTAGGCTACTTTTGGATTTAGGATTTGAAGGGAATTTGTTGATTGAAAGGAAAATGGAACATTATAAAGTAAACCCTTTTTATATGATGACCCTTTTTTTTCTTTTTCTTTTTTTTGCTTTTTGTGAACTGTTTTTAATTTGGTTTTTTATTGAACTGCTATTTTAAAATGTTTAGGCTTCTCTCTCTCTTAAAAAAGTCCAGTTTATTTAGCTTTTTAAATTTTGCTTTTGGACTTTTTCAAAAAAACAAAATGAAAACAAATTACTCCTTCGTTTTTTTGCTTTTTTTTTTTTTTTTCTCCTTGGAGTAAATAAGTTACTGTGTAGTATAATTTTTTATGATGTGTATTGAAAAATGCATTTGTAATTATATCGATAAGGCAAAAAATATTTGTAATTATCCAGTTACAGTGTGGTGAGACCTTTTATAAATTTTTATTGTAGTTTTTTACTTATTTTTTTCACATTTTAAAATGCAAAATTATTAATTAAATTTCTATATTGAAGTTTTGTTAAAATTTTATTCATAAGAAGTATAATTTATATTTTTTTATAATTTACTCTTTTTATTTTATATTTTTTATGGTATACATTAGTTGTTAGTAGGAAAAGTGGGTAATACAATCCATAAGAATTAACTATTATCAATGCAAAATTACTATATAGAATCAACCACAAAATCATGTATTGCAATAGTTTTACATTTTGGCCAATAAAGAAAAATGATGAACATTTCTATGAGAGTATTTAATTTTTCTTCTATCCTTTTTAATGTATATTGAAGACATAAAAAAATTATAATTTTTCTTCTATCCAGTAGTAGTTCAATTTCTCCATTCTTAAATTAGGTTGTTAACTAAAATATATGTTAGGAGGTTGTTAATTATGTGTCAATAATTTTTCTGGCAATTATTAATTTTTGCTTCCTAATATTTGTTGTTTGGCATTTTCTTTGTATTGCAGAACATTGGCTGGTGTGCTTAATTTGTTATTTGGCATTTTTCTTTATATTGCAGAACACTGGCTGGTGTGCTTAATTTGTTGTTTATTTTTTTTTCTATTGCAAAGCATTGGCTAGCGTATTTCGTCTAATTTGTATTGTTGGTGGGACTTATATTTTGTTGTTTGTTTAAAATCTTATACTTTTGTCGTGCTTGAATTTTACGTAGCATTTACGTGTTTACTTTTCACTATTTCGTTTACCTAATTATGTTTAAATTGATTTATTTACCATTTCATTTATTTAATTTTCACTATTTCTTCTCACTATTTCATTTATTTAATTTTCTGCACAGTAAACTGACCACCGAACCATACAAATTGGTAGATTTCAACCATTAGATTAAAATTGATGCAAAACTATAGCCATGAGATCTCTCTTCTTTATTTCAACCAAAGCTCACTATTTAAAAAAATGTGGATATAGAAATTTATTTGGGTACTGTTATTGGCCAACGTAATAAAGTGTTTATTTTTTGTTGCAAATTGCAAGTGGGTTAAATAAACAAAAATACTACAATAGTAAATATTTTGTGATCTGGTCTTTGTTTGCATTACTATTTTTCATGTTTTCTTGGCTAAGGTAATAATTGTGTCATCACTATTTTCACATTTTCTTGATAAATTGTAGCAATTTCCATCACATTGCTTCTACCACTACTAATCATGGACCATACCATTTTTTGCCATTTAAAAATAAAAATTTATAGCAAAACTTATTGTTAAATTCAATTGGACAGTTTTTATATGTTTATCGTTAAGTTTGCACTACAGACAAGGAGGGTCTAATTTTTTTTTATTAAGTTACATCTATCTAAATTTTATGATTTTGCAAAATATTTAAATTGAGTGGATCTAAAAGTGAAAAATATTTCGATTAAAATATTATAAAGTTCACTAAAAATTTAAAAACTATTTTTGGAAACTCCAAAACTAAGTAATTTTTGAATTTTAAATTTGTAAAAATTATTTTTAATATATACAACCAAACAAAATTTTTAATATTATTTAAACTAAGCATACCGTAGTAATTTTATATTCAATTACATTTTCATTCCAATAATATTTTCACCGTGCCTTCAGGTACGGACATACCCTAGTACTATATATTTCATATGTATATATATATTTAAATTCATAAATTAAACATAATTTTCATATTTTCATATGGATGGTGCCAAAGAGTAACAAATACCATATATATTATAAAAATAAAATTAATTACATCACAATTCTCATTGTAGCCTTTCTTGTCTCATGACGGAGATGGGATTGCTTTCTTCTCCTGCCGCTCTCTCAAACTACCTTTTATGGGGATGGCTTATCTCCATCCTAATATTGGATTGGAGGATTTTGTTAGGTCTTTGTAGGTTGGTCGTGGAGCTTGCATTAATAATTAAAATCGTTCAATATATAAAATTTATTGATTAATTTATTTTTGTAAAAAATTATGTTAATCAAATATCAAAAGCTATTTGATCAAATTATATTTGTGGGGGCATATTTTGTGAATAAACAACACGAGGCCGAGGTGATGTCGACGTGTCAGCCGGAGTGTCCCGTGGCTTGGTCATATGCGAGATGATCTCGGCTAGGCTGAGGTTATCTTTGGAGATAACCGAATTCGAGGTGAACAGATAAGGGACAAGATTCCTAGAATAGGGGAGGATCTCAGTCTGGATAAAGATAAAACTCCTAGGAAGTTTATCTCTATCTAACTGGGAGTCCAAGATGAGTATTGAGCCAAAGTCCATTGAAGCTAGGCTTCTACAGGGATCAGGTTAGTGCTGGCTATAAAAGTAAGGCGCCCTCGTGGGTCTAAGGTATGTTTTTTATGCTCTATCCAGTGAGTTAATCACTATTTGTTATCTTTGAGAGATATTAATTACTGACTTGATCGTCAGAGTGCCCTTGGATAAACGAACCACCGCCGGATTCTTATCACTCTGTAGCAGGTTGTTCGGGTTTAATCTATTATGCTAGTGCTCTCCTGCTGAGCTTCCCTGTTTGGTTGTGTGGTAAAAAATCAACACCGACAATTTGGCGCCGTCTATGGAAAAGTAAGGAGAATAAATAGCCAACGACGGACAGAAAGAAAAGGTCGGGGACGACATCCGTGGGGGAAGTGGCAAACACGTTGATCCTAATGTGAAGGAGGAGAATTGTAACGAAGGACCTCGGGATCAGAATCCCGAGGAAAAGGATGTTGGCCAGGAGGGAAAGGCACCGAAGAAAGCATGTCAAGACGGGTATTACAACGAAAGTGACTTATAGGTATGGAAAGATAGATGCCTGAGGAAGGACAACGAGATGAAGGGAATGGCAAACAAATTGGCAGACCTACAATCGGTTGAAACTTCATGATGCAGAACAACATCATGTAGCCACCGTTTCCGTTGAAAGACACGCCGATTCCAGCGGCCAAGGACGATGCCCAGAAAGGGGGGCAGAAAGCCGTCCCAGCAGTCCCTCAACATGACAGGGTAAAGGAACACTCACATCGATCTTCACGGGACACTGGGCGAGCAGAATCGATGAAAGAAGAGTCTTAGAGGACGTCTCGTACCAAAGGAACATCGGCATGTTCAATGGAGGAAACTTTGTTTCAACACGGTGAATGAAGAGAAGTCCAAGAGGGCTCATAACGACGCCAATAGCAGTGCACCAAAAAGGTTGAAATCCATTAACAGCCAAGCTCCTCGTCGGACTAAGGAGGATTTGAGGGACTACCTCCAGAGGAAGCGACAAAATGTCAAGGTCACATCCCTCGTCAAGCCGAGAACGTCGTTCTCAGTAGAATTAGATAGATTGGAGGCCCCAAAAAGGTTCCATATGCCGAGGTTCCAGATATATGACGGTAAATCCGATCCGAACTTTCCCGTCGGCTTGTACCTGAATTCAATGGCACTGTACACCGGGAACGAGCTGCCGCTATGCATGGTGTTCCCCTCATCCTTTGGGGAAATCATGTCGAATTGGTTTCACAAGTTGCCGAAAGGAGCTGTGAAGAGTTGGGAAGGCCTACCCGTGATGTTTGTGGCCAGGTTTGTTACAAAACAAATTGCAGCCGTTAAAGGTAGACTCCCTGATGGCTTTGAAAATTAGCGAGGATGAAAGCCTTAGAGCTTATGCCAAAAGGTATTATGAGGTGTTTAATTAAATACCAAGGTGCAACCAAGAGTTGATGGTCGTATCTTTTAAGAACAGCCTGAACGATGACTGCATGCTTCGAAAGTCACTGGCAAAGACTCTGCTGAAAAGTATGAAGGAGCTCATGGCCAGGATCAAGAAATATGCTAAAGCCAAAGAAGACACACCAGAAACGAAGACGTCAAAGCAGGAGAAGAGAAACGGCTCACCGAAGCGAGGCCAAGGTAATACAAATTTTAATAGACAAGAAACAGTACTAAGGGCTGCGCAAGTAGTCACCACCATGTTCCGGATCCCGGTTTATAAAGTCCTGGAAAAAATCAGGAACTAGCCGTATTACAGAGTGCCAGAGAGGATCCCTGGCGAGTTTATGGGGAGAAGTCTAGGGAAGCACTGTGCCTACCACAATAAAGATGGACACCTGACGCAGTGTTATAGAGCCCTAAAGGCGCATTTAGAAGATCTGGTTAGACAGGGTCACTTAAGGGACCTAGTAGATGAGGCCCGAGCGAGGGAAGAATAGGCAAGGCTGCCCCAGGCACCGGCAGCACCACCTCTACCAGCACCACAACCACAGGCAGACGAACTTCGAGTGATCAATATGATTCACTCAAGGGTCAATGAGAACGAGGTACATGGGAAAACTCAAAGGGTGAAGCACTTACAACATGTATATCAAGTCTAGCAAAAGAGGCCTAGGACAGACGAGTACCAGGGACCGATAGTGTCCTTTACCGAAGCTGACTTAGATATGGTCCAGCATCCACACAACGATGCTCTGGTAGTAACCCTCAAGATTAGATAATGTCAGGTAAGGCATATTCTGATTGACCAAGGCAGCTCTTATGACATCATGTATGTATGTCAGATGTTACAAGGAGCTCGGCCTTCGCCGAAATGATCTGGAGCAGGCCAACAACTCAATGGTCGGGTTCAATAGAACGCCAACATGGTCCCTGGAGGAAATGAATTTAGAGGTATAGGCAGACATCAAGAAGGTAAGTACAGAGTTCACAGTAATTGACACCCCCTTTCCTTACAATGTTATCTTGGGAAGGCCATGGTTGCACGTAATGAAGGTTATTCCCTCAACATTGCACCAGCTGTTGTGGTTCCTAACAGAGCATGGAATTGAGGAGGTCAGAAGGGATCAGGTGCAGGCAAAGAATTGCTCCATGGCAACAATAAAATCCACCTGCAACGTGCAAAAGGCAGAAATAGTAGAAATTGAGAACGAGGACATAGAGGTTCTGGATGATGTCGGCAAAGAGCAGGCCGACAAAAGCAAGGAAGCCTTGAAAAAAGTTCTAGTCCAACAAGGTGATAAAGAGCGCTTCTTCCTTCTCGGCTCAGGTTTAGGCAAAGAGGAAGAAAGGGAGTTGGAAGCATTCTTGCGAGCAAACATAGAGGTGTTTGCCTGAATGCCCTATGAGATTCCTAGCATTGACTCCGTGGTCACATGCCATATGCTCAATGTAGACAAGTCGGCTAAGCTTGTCATCCGGCGAGTGAGGAGGCCGACATTGATGCATGTTGAGGCAATTGAGGAGGAATTGGACAAACTGCTGGAAGCCAAGGTCATTCGCGAAGTGAACTACCCTACTTGGTTGTCCAACACTGTGGTGGTGAAAAAGAAGAACGGCAAGTAGAGGGTTTGTGTTGATTTCACCAACCTAAATAAGGCTTACCCCAATGACAGTTTTCCACTCCCCAAAATTGACCAGTTGGTGGATACCACATCGGGACATGGAATGATGAGCTTCTTGGATGCTTACAAGGGATACCACCAAATAGCAATGTATCCCCCCGATGAAGAGAATACTGCATTTATCATCCCAAAAGGGCTGTATTGCTACAGAGTGATGCCTTTCGGGTTAAAAAATATAGGAGCAACCTAATAGAGATTGGTGACTAAGATGGTTAGACATCTAATTGGCAAAATAGTGGAAGTATACATTGATGACATGGTCGTGAAGGCCAAAGAGCCTAAAAATCACTTGGCCG